ACCGTAACAATAAATCATGCTTAAAACCAATCGCTTGTACGTGCATAAAATAGAATATTAAAAAATATTTACTTTAGAATTTACCTGAACGCTTTAGAAATGATAAAATATTCTTTAGTTACCAAATGAAGATGTATGTGCTTTGAAACTTTTTCCTAATTTATTAATTTCTAATRAGTATATGTCATCACTGTGTGTAGATTTGAGCAACATTCGAAATTTTTAATTAACCACCTACAGCTATAAGTGTGAGCTGTTGCATGAATAATTCGACGTAATGACTAATGCTAAGAGTAATGTCAGACCTAAATCGTTGAAACTTCTCGGTAATTTAAAGCGTAATAGGTATTTCCTTCGGAAGAGTAGACGGTAAGTAATTGCAGAGCGATTATTCATAAACATATTATCCGGCTAACACCGCGCCGGGCCATTTATTATATTTGCTAGCTTTCCCAGAAAGCTGACCCACCAGCAATTACTTTTGTACCCAGATATTCCAACATAGCTTACCAGACCCATTAGTATTTCCTCTTCCAATGGGCTTTTTTTGCCCAGTGCCTCAAATTAAGGAGATCTGGACGATAATRAATGTCTTGTCGGCAAATAAAATTTCGGTCTTGGACGTCAATTTCAGCGTAAATTCTTAAAATCAAACCACCTGCTAGTCGGAATTAGAAGCGTACTGACCCACAAAAAACGGTCGGTACCTACCCAAATTTGCCCTTGAGACTTTTTGTTTCGTTTGTACTAKATTTGCCATGAGCCAAGTGCAACACGAACAACTGCTCGATCCCTTTCGGGGGCTTACCGCCAAAGCGACTCCAAATTGCCTACTAATAACACACTTCACTAAGAAACATCACTACTTGATTCATGGTATAAGAATAATATAGTTACATTGACATCTGTCATTCAAAGGTTTTTATTAATTAATATTTCTGCTCTTGGTTGCACCAAAAGAAAAACAAAAAGCTAATGCTTTAGGAGTATTTATTTTATAAGCTGTTTATCCGCAAATTCTATTCACGCCGACAAAATTAATAAACTTGTCTTGGATTTTATCGAKTTGAATATTTCTTAGCATTGCAAGAAACTTACTCGCAAAACAAACAGCCATATGTTATTAAATCTATTAAGTTTATATTTGTCGATGTTGATGTTAATTACTTGTAGTAATTAGACGGGGCCATCAATCAATAAAATGATGAAGAGGAGAAGCGTTTCCTTGATGTTTTTCAGTTGTTTTCAGAGCTTGACGTCGCATTGAAGTCTCTCAGCTACACGAAGCAGGTATTCTTCGCTGCAAACCCGGTGGTCTTAGAACATGATAATTGATCAGTAAAATAACTTAACTAACAACAATGAAGCTTATTAGCGTTAAAAAATATGATTGTAAAATCGCCAGAACTTGTCGGTATAAATTTTGGAAAACAATTTTTGGGGTGAGTTCGCAAGTGTTGAGTGCACATCGATGTAAATTTTTTGTCGTGATTTATGCAAGCACTGTGGTTGAAACAACGTCTGGTTATTGTAGACACGTTCTGGGAATGGCAGCCTTGTAATTATATCCACCAGTACCAGAGAGGTGAATACCTGGCTGGATGACTTTTAACGCAATTTCAAAGTGGCATATCTCTGATATGGGTCGAGGGAAATGCCTTTTGTTCGGGATCGGGACCTGCCATCATAATGTGGACGTACACTACAGTCCTCTTACGCTAACCACAGAATCCGACCGCCGAAAACTTGGTTCTCTTCTCGGAAGGGAAGACCCATATCAAGGCTTGTTTCATTGTCTGATCATTTATTACCTATACATACCTGAGACGTAATTTATAAGCCATCGGCGTTTTATAATTATTGTCTGTAAATTCTTGGCTTATTTGTTAGAGCTTRAATCAAATTTTTTTCRACTGAAAGACGGCTTTGAAGTGACGGCAAATACTTTGCATTTTTTACACTAATAAAACTTGCCACCAGTTGGAGCAAATTAGATATGGAATGACCTTACAAGGACGGTGGGATCAGGCGACTACCGGTTAAATTCATGTACAGAGGAGTTTAGAAAGCACTGAAAAATAACGAATTTACTGGAAAACAGAGGTCAAGGCAGCGCTTGTAAATAATCTTTGAAAAATGGTCACTTATGATAAAACAGAAAATGTTCATTCTTTTTTTCGTTTTAATTTTAATTTTAATTAGCAGTTAGTATCCAAACACATTAAAAAAGGCCGCACTGTTTTTCAAAAATAGATGATAGGTTTTGTGCTTCTCCAATTTGTCTATTATGTAGTCGCGCTGTATCAATAAGATGTGAGTTATGCAGGGTGATGCTGTAGTTGTACCTGTGTAGTGTTGTTTACCCGTACCGAGCACAGCAAGGGCGATAAAAAGTCGTCTGCTTTACTGGTCAGGTTCTCCAAACAAGGGTGCACAATGGCAAGACTAAAAATAAATAACGCCAAATTCACATGAGGTCCGCATCTCTCTTCTTCCCCCTTGAACGACACAATCTGAAATCGGCGATCCTTASACATGCCTACATTATAATAATGGCCGTGCAATCTAACGCTTTTTGCACCAATAGTGGCAATCCTGCATAAAACTTCACCAATACAACAAACTTAAACAAGTATAGTAGATGGTGAAGTAATAAAAGTGATACAGTAACAAGTCGGGTTTTAATCTTAGTTTATGTTGAATGTTTATTGCGAACTTCGTACTCAATTACTTAAGATGTAATAAACACACTTAAAGTTAACTTCATTGCTAACCGAGTTCTAAATTTGGATAATTAAAATTAATTGTGGATCTCCGAGCTGGAGCTGAGTTATGGATTCGACTGATTCAATTCGATAGTTAGGGAGCCGGAGCTTGTTTAGTGACTCTCTATATTTTTCAAGTTCTGTGGCGATTTACCCTCGGAATCTACCTGATCCCATCTGTAGGAGTTAGCGTTCATTAAATAGCAATGCAATATATTTTTTTGTTCTCCTCTACCTTTCTGCAGCCAACTGCATTGTAAGAATTTATTATTCGGCCTTTTATTTAGAGACTTTCAACTATAATAATTCTCAGAATCCCACATCATTTTATTCATTCTGGTTAATGACACCAAATATTTGACAAAAAAAGCAAGTAGGTGGTTGGTGGTTTAAGATGTAATTATTGTTAATTTTTAATGTCTAAATACGATTCAAGTTTTCACTGAATTAAAAATTCATTACCTGTGTGTGTGTCTAGTAATTAGGTAAATGCGAGTTGTGCTTTTAAAGCCAATTGCTAACGTCATTGTGGGAGTCGAAAATGACGAATCTATCTGTTTTTATGGCACTTTTAGTCATTCCAGATCTTTGCAGCGCCCCAGCATGTGCAGCTTTCATAATTAATTTGAGGCAGCTGAGACTGCCGTATAAAATTTAATCCGTATTTCATGCGGAATCAAAATTACCATCGAGCATTTCCTAGAAAATCATAGATAACTGCAGACATATCGTTAAAATAAATTACAAGGATTAACATATGGAGGCTCAGCCCGTGGCCAATGAAAGGGGTGACTTCTAAAACTATATAATTAAATATTTTCTGTAGGGCAGTCACGAAAGAGGTCTGAAGTTGCTCACCTATATTTCGAAGCACGTGCTGGCTGGTAGCAGATGCCATTTTGCAGCAGCGYCMGACATGTGGCTAAAAGAATAAAAAACCGAAAAGCGAAGCCAAGCTTATATAACCAGCCGACCTATATATGGTCCAGACGCTCAACAATGCCGTCTTCGACTTTTTGCTCGTGCTTTTTTTAAGCGCAAGTTTTATGAGCCAGCTTCACCAAGGTCAGGGGGCGCTTTGTATGCGCAGCTTTCGCCTGCTTGGTCAAATTAACACTTCCCCATCGCCTGCAAAATTGTTTATGCCACAATCGTTTTAATATAGTTAAGGCCAGATTAAGCCCAGATTTGAATTACAAATTAATTTTTTGCGCCGCAAAGATAACAAGTTATTAGGGGCATGAGAAAGCTCACTCATGGCGTGCCTTGATTGCAGGAAAAGTGGCTAAGTTATGGCTGCTTACTCAAAAAATTCACTTTGTTTCAATATGGTCAGATTAGCTAAAAGTCTGATTTGTGGGCTATTTCCAGTATAATAATGTAATATCTTGATTTATGAAAGCACACAATTTAAAATTATTATTTTAATCGCTTGCTTTTAGATGAAATCAAMAGATACGTCCGAAATACAATTTCGGATGCTTTATTTGTCACAATWTAATAACTTACTGTCTATAAGTGCCACCACATTTCAAGAGTTGCTTTTTGTAGGAGTAAAATATTCGGTGTCTTATACAATTCCCACAAGCACAAAAGTGGCACTTTCAAATGCGATGTTCTTTCAGCTTGATGTGTTTGAGCTCCATTATGCAACTTATTGCTTCATTTATTGCCAATGTCGTCTGAAAAAAATGTTTTTCTTGAATATTCGTCTGATCACATCCCTCTATACCTATGTATTTGGATAAAAAATCTAAAAACTATGATTAAGGTTTAAGATTAATGTTAAATAAATAAATTAATGGGTGTTTTTACAATCTTGTTCAAAAAGTGTAATGCAATGAGTGTCTGTTGTTTGTTTCTATGCGAAACTGAATTCGAATAAATTTCTGTTTGCGACGTTAAATTTCCTTTTGAAGTGCATAATTAAGATGACAAAGAATTTACTCGTTCCATTATCCTTGCAATATGCCTGTTGACACAGAAAATTCAAACGAGCTTTAATGAGTATAGAAAGCTCTGTATCAAGCTCGTTTCGACCCTGACCTAAACCAACACGATTAAGATAAAGTTCGCCCCATAATAATAATTATTTTTGAAACATAAATACGTTATTTATTCGAGTCACYGGTGAAGGGAATCGAAGTGTAAATTCCGGCACGGCGAATTTTAACGAGACACCCCTTTTGTTTCGTCCTTTCCATTCAATGTTAATAACACTTTGAATTGTTYCAGGAATCGTCCCCAACTTTGACGCTCATATCGTCAAAGGTAAGCAGGCCATGCGACCGCAACGTTGTCCAATCAAGGTGTGTGTAACTGTGTGCTTTTATTACTTTTATCTCACTTTACACCACAACACAACCCTGAGAACATTTGGTTATGTGCATTATGGGTGTGTGCTAAGCACTTTGAATCTCTCGCACAGAACATTGCACGTGAACACGAAATTAGAGCACACTTCAATGATTAAAGGTCTTGCTGGCTGCAAGATAAGAAGGGACTTGGATAAAGCTTCAGTTTTTGTTAAGTAGTTCGCACCATTTTTCTTCAAAGCTCGTGGCGGTGTTCAATTAGCGGCCTGGCTTAACACCCGAACATCTTTTCATCTTAATTGATTGATAATTATTTACAACTAATAGACAAATTTGCGTCACGTTTGAAAACATTGAAAACATTGATTGAGTTGTCTTGTCAATACCCACACTTGCGGCTCCACAATGGCCCTCCTGCGGTGCATCGACAATACTTCACGGACCGCCAACGGAATTTTATTTTAGTATTTAATTCTCGTATGACCGGGCCCTTTGCCGGACATAATTAGRTCGCCCATAAATTTCACGGATCAATTATCTTTTGGCACTCGATTGAAAATGATAATTAAACACTCTGCTGCCACCCACGATACGAAATTGCTGGAGCAGATGGTTAGGTTCAAGGTGAAGATACATTACTGAGCAACTTGAGCATGACTTGATTGATCATACTCACAGATTGATCTCAGTTTTTGCCCGCTTTTGGCGCAGACCTAACAAAAATAAGACATCATTGTCAAATCAAGTGTTAAACTTTTTATTAAACTTGTTAGTTCCAAGTGGATTCATTCGTTTCTTGTCGGTAATTCGATTAAAACAAASAAATAATTTTCAAATAATTATTACTCAAAAGAATGATATAGTATTWGTAATTTATCTGTTTCCAAAATTAATAACACTCAAGTGCAAGAAGATATAAATGTGAACAACTTATTTAAATGATTTAAGACGTACTTACCTAGATTTTTAAGAAAGTAATTCAAAAATGTATAGCCAGTGTGAAGACTTGGAAAAAATAAATTATTCTAATAATGATCTTCTAATAATCCTACCACATGCTGCTTAGAATTAATTACAGGTCATACATGTAATAATGACTGTTAATATTTTAATAGCAATAGTGTTTCTCATTGTTGATGYTTGCCTTTGGGAACTTACTTGTAGCCTTGACCATTAAAAATTCCTCAGTAATATCTGTTATTGAATCATCTGAGCATACTCCACCAGGTAAAAAATTTCAGTTTCCAGAATCGCACTAAATCTTGAATTATTTTGTTATAAATATTTGTGGAAGGCCTTTCGTGACTTTGTGTAGAAGTTATGATTTAGATATGGTTTTAAAACATGCTAAAAAATAACTAAGCTGGTATGATTATTAAAACTAAGAAGAAAGAAATAAAAGTGTGAATTTGCATAAAATATAGATTTTGTGGTTCAAAAACGCTATATCATTAATTTATTTGGTAAACGGGTTTATATGAGATTAAATTCATGGCAACGATAAAAAAGTAATTCTGGGTTATTTATAATCAGTTTTAGAGTAACTTTATAGAAAGAGTGGCCAAATAAAACTGTGAATAGTTTAAAGAAAGATGAGTTCATAAAAATCATGCTTTATCTCTTTGACTTTGCTTTAGAATGTAAATTTCATTTCACTTAGTTGGAAATTACTTTGGTTACAATTTTATTGTTACAAAAAATTTTGAAATATTTTGTTTATTTTAAGGAGCCACTGTTTTGGAAGAGGCGAGGAAAAAAACTATTGTGTTCTTTGTTATAAATTTTATTAGACAACCGATCAGCAACCAAAAGAGGCAGTTATTTAATTCAAGTGGTAACAATGGAGTCTCTATTAATTAAGATCTGCATTCCTTGGATGTATCGCAGAGATTCGATTCTTGTCCAAGTCGGCGGGCAAATTCCAGGTTGCAATTAGATTTTTTGCACAATTTGCGATTTCTTTGTTGTTTGGGAACGGACCGGACAAAAGTGTGGTGGTGGAGGTCATTGCCGAAAAGTAAGTGAACTTGGCAATTGTTGTACCGAAATGCAGTAACACTTGAAGGTCATTTGGTCAATACCGGATAATTTGGATGTTGTGTGGTTGCGGCTCCTCGATAAATCAGCCGTCGGGTTTAATTCGTGCGCAATTTTTGTGTATAAAGTTTTTGCATTCGGCGGGCCTTTGGCGATACCTGGGGAGCACATCTCTTGTATGTTGTACCTACTCTAGACGATCATAAATTGGGCCTAAACTCAGTATGCCATACCGGCTCACCTTGGCTGTGACTCTTCTAAAATAGTCGGTTGGTTCTTTGCGTCGTTAATACCTACGGTCAATACATCACTTACATGCCCCATGCCCAGGTAGGTACTCTGTCCGTTTGCTGGATTCTGAATGTCGATAACGATCGTTATTTATTATTATCTGCGTTTCGATTTATTGCTTTCTTTCCAAATCGCAAAATTGTTTTTCGCAGTCGAGGCAATTGAACCGAATACATTTGAAATTTTAATGAGTAATTAAAGGCTGACGATTTTTTTAGTTAATTGGATCATGTTGTTGATAATCTCATGTGGAATTAATCACTAATTAGAAATAGGTAAATGAACTTGGCACATGCACGTTCAAGTTTTATGTACTAGTTGTACTACTTTTGCAGTCAAAATTTATCCATATTTTTTAAGCCGGCAAAAAAGCTACTCCAATTTTATAGCAGATGTACGTAAGTACAGTTACCAAAGAGGCCAAATGAATCAAACAGAAAGCACAATTTTGTTCTAAATTTATTGTTTCTAGTCAAATTTTTAATCATTTTCTATTGCTTTAAGTCGAGGTATTGTGGAACAATATTATCATCCCAGCCAAATTTAGGTAAGAAAAATTGAAATAATATTTAGTTCATAGTAACAGTGATGTTTGAGTGATATTTCTTCAATGAAATGTTTGTATAATGTGGAACTTGATTTACCCTGCACAAGACCAGTTTTCTTTGCATATAGGGAAAGAAGAATTTTTTGTTATTCATGACCCTTCCATTTTAATTTAATGTACAAACAAGTCATTTATTTTTGTCTCAAAATTTATGCCTCTTAGGAAATCGGCTCATATTTTGGTTTCTACATCAACACAGAGTAATAAAATTCTAACCGCGTTATTTACGAATCTCCACACCAATGGCCGTTTCACTTTTCATCAGTGCATCCTCTAGCCAACAACTACTTTATTGTTGCGAAATGGTTAGTAAAAATATTTTCACATAACATTTACCCCAAACATGGTAGGAAAGCTTTTTGTTCAAAAACTTTTACTCTGAATAGTGAACAGCAGGATGTAAGTTGTTTGCGAAAAAAAAAATGGTCCTGAAAATTGATCGTATCCATAAATCCGTTCCGAAACCTGACTTCTTCACCTAACGTTAATTCACAATTTATTAGTCGATTTTCAAATAAATACTCGTAGGTGCAATAAAAACGCAATAAAAGCTAAACAAATATTTCTGGCTATTACTTCAAAGCAACCAGAAATATTTTTATGTGTGTGACTTATATTTACTTACTTTTAGTGGATCAAATGGGCGCACTAGTCGTGCGTTATTGTGACATATTGGTGAGTGTTATCACTTCGTGTTTGGGAAGAGAAACTAGAATGGTTAAAAGGTTTGTGCAGTGTTGTTGTTTGTTTGGCTTGAACTCGTGGAATTAGTTGTCATTAGTTTTGAGAAAAAAAATCCGTCGTTGACAGGACAATTTATAATTAAAAATCTGTCGAGAAATTGTACAATAATTATAACAAGCTGGTCAATATACTCTACCAGTGTTGTTACCACATTCCGATGGATTTAATGAGTATATCTCAGAGCATAGAATTACATCGCCTATAAAATATTCATTACACACGTTTTCTTACTATCAGGCATCAGTGGTACCAAAATCATTGTGAAATATAACGAAAGCCACCTGCCCACGGAATCTTTGTGGTCACCAGCAAGCATTTTTTTAATTAACACTGACAATTCCATTTTGAATCTTTCTCTTTTGATCTAAGTTGAATAATTTCGGTTCTTGGAAGCTGTTCGAGTGGGTGGTCCTCGTAATTAAAATTGTTTTGCACAATTGCGTTTAGAATGCTTTGTGTTTTGGTAAAATTTTATCCATCGATGTATCGCGTGAACCGCATTAAGCGAGCAGGTACCCCAAAGTTACCTGGCCGAAGACATATAGCTGTATTTACGACTACACATACATATGCGGTCACCTTGAGATGTAAACAATAATTAGGCATTGAAAATAATGTAGCATGTACTGGTCCTACCACTCCCAAAACCCGATAGAGAGGATATTTGGACTGGTCGGTTGAGAAAGATCTGATATTATTCTCGGAATAAATTGCGTCTCATCCGTGATTTAAAGTAGTGGAAAATTGATGTTATTTATATTGTTCATTTTTATCGTCGTTAAGTACACTCAGCGGTATCAAGTTACGTTTTAATGCATCCTACTTTGGTAAATTGCCCCACCGAAAACATGACCGGTCTCTAATTAGCTTTAATTGTTCATCGCGGTCGTGACACCCCGCGATACCCAAAATTTATAACCGAAGATTCTTTCATGCGGAAGCGGAGGAAAACATATCTTTTTATCACCACTAAAAAGACGCAATAAAATTTTGATTCTAGACGAGTTTGCATATTTCCGAGGAAAAAAATGGGACTTTCTTTCACTACATAGTACATATGAACCGATTTCGCCTCTTCAGCACTTTGGCGACATCGAAAATCGTAATTAAAAAAATTAAACTTTTCACCAGTGTTCCCGCAAATTTTTAGTTAATTGCATTGAATCGATAATGGAGTAAAAGATTAAGTGAAAAAGCTAAATTTATAACAGCCAAATGAACGATGTTTTTTGACGACACATATTTTATACTAAACTTATTTATTAAGAGCTTTGTTATTATTAAGGTGGCAAAAGAAGCGAGGCTCTTACTTAACTTTAGTTAGTGATAACACACTCCTTGATCATTTTTATGCAATTTTTTAAGAGAAGAAACAATTTATACAGAGCTTATAGATGAGTAATTGTAATCACGGTTTGCTTATACTGACGATATTTTCTAGTCACGTTAAAAGTAATAAAGTGGGCAATAAACGTTATTTATAAGAATATATCACAGTATGGCACACGCATTGCTTGATTAATGACACTTCTAAACCTATTCGAACTTTTATAAATTATTCATTTTTAAACTGTCAATAATCGCTTATTTGTATTATTATTATTTATTTTACAATCTCATTTTTGGGACAACGTTTTTATTCGTTAACAATTTTAAAACTTAAGATATTTTGTCACATGTTAGTCAAATCGAAATTGTGATTAGATTTAATATTTCACTGCGAACATCTATAGAAGAGGGCTTCGATTTCAGTCAATGCTTCGATGCTCGAAGATAAGGTTCGTTTTGTTTACACATGTTTAGAAAGCATAAATAGTAACAAATAATAAAATAGTAACAATCAGTGGATATTAAAAAAATATATTATTTTCTGATGTTATTTAATGTTATTTTTTTTTCAAATAGTACTATGTGTGACAACAATTAACAACACCGAATTATTGCTGATTATGATAATACAGATAAGAGTGAAATTATTGAATATTCCGCATTACTCAATGATCTGACCAGACGGACTTATGAAGTAATATGCAAATTTCACTCATAATACATAAATATTCTATTTGCACAAAAGTTCGCTTCAAAAATCAGTCGATTAATATTCAATTAGTGATACGCTACAAGTAATGAAGACATTGAAGTTGACATTTAGTCCGGCCCGGATTTTATTATCATTCCGCCGGTTTTAATCGCATTTGCATCATTGTAAAGAAGCCTCTGACATAAGATTCCGCAATAGAGTCGTGAAAGCGTCAAGTTGTGCGCCGTTGTGCTAATTAATGTTCATCTCCGTCGATAATTTGTTATTCAAAAATATTAATAAAGACGTTTCATTCATAGTTCTAGGTGATAGTGGGTCCGGAGTCACGACCTTCAGTCGTTTCTGACGTGATTGAATTCGAAATTTGTCAGCTATTAGTTAATTAATATACCCAAATAGCCTATGCCCAAGCGAGGTAGCCAGTTTCGAAACTGATTTGCAGAGGTCGTCCTTGTGTGTATACCTTTAATTAACATCTCGTCCGAATAAGTGAAGTTGGGTCGTCCTTCTGCCTGCTTGATGGACAGTCTAATTGCGGTGTATGGGGCCGTATCTAATGCCGAGACTCCGTACGTTATAGTTTGATGTGTGCCCGCAAGGGGAGCTGTCAGTCCGAGAGCTTTTATTAAACATCATTTTACTACACATACAAACAACGCGCCGAGACCACAAATACCTGGCCACGAAATCGTTGGCTCTTGTAAATGAAATTATTGTTATGTTGCTTACTCAACTTCACTTAAACGTTTTGGAATTTTAATTAAGGGACTTCAAATGTTAATTAAAACTCAACTGAATTGATTTATAATTAAATTTTGAGGAGAAAAGTTTTTATCTAATTGAAACTCCTCTACGATGAGTACCGCACGTCTGGCCACGATGCACTCAAACTTCTCATCAGAGACGAATTATTATCTTAATCATTACTTAATGCTGTTAGTGCAGAGAAATATAGTTTTTGGTTTATAAGCTTTTTCAACAAATAACAAATGCATTTCGACTCTGATAACTTAGGACGCTCTACCCACAATTTTCTTCCGCGGTAGGCGGAGCGACTAAGTTATCCCGGACTTTATTCCGTTAGAGGATATATATGTTAGAGTTTTTTTTTATTCATTACTTCGGTTCTCTAGTGTTTGAAGTTAAATTTACTGTCAGATTTGGCGYCTTATTGACGTTGACGTCTTCAAATTTTAGAAAAATAGTTTGTTACTATTTTTACTGCATCAGATCTCTATTTAAATATATAAATCCTGAAGTTTCCCGTAAACAGGAACATAAAAAAGTTGCCTAAGCAGCATGTCAGTAGAGGCCATTTCTCCGCACATTTCCATCATTGTGTAAAAAGTTTTTCTCTCTGTACGTACTGTGAACATAGTTGGCAACTTTTCCACTGTGCTTTTAACCTTTTTTCGTCTTTGTTATCATGTCTCGTTTTTATGTCATTCGCATTGCCATTCGCAATTCTTCAAGTGTAGTTTAACAATTTGATAGGATTTATGTAGCAACTTTGCCTACTATGTGTGCCATAAAGCTTAAAAATGGCTTCTGGCTTTTCCAAAATGAAAATAACACATTTTAGAAACGCTTAACATCCCACTTTACTCACATAAACGATCTATCCTCGTAAGGACGTAACTAGATCGATTTTCAAATATATCCTGAAAA